CTCCCCCTCTCCCATGTCCCCCCGGAACTGTCAGTCCCGTTGTTTTCTCCTCCAGATTGTTCATCCAGCCTGTCCTATCCAGACAGGCCCACAGTGAATTGTTTAGTGCTCATGTATGCCCTCTGTGTGCTAGAGAAACCGTGACGGCAGAAATGCTACAAATGAGAAACACTCTTTTCATACATGCTTTTGGGGGGGAATACTTTTAGGAGCTGAAGCTGGACACTAATGAGGTACATTGCTACCTCTAGCAGACAGGCATCCTGAGAGACGGGGCCTTGGGGACCACCGCTCTCTGCCGCAAATAGAGTCCATCTGGGCCTCTCTAGAGGTGGCTAGAACACTCCAGTTGGAACACACATTTCAGGACCCCAGGTAGAGGGTCTGCATCTTGTCCAAACCACTGCTGTCTGGAGGGTGACGGAGGGCCGGTGGCAGAGACAAGATTGAAAGCCAGGGGAATGAGCAGAGGTCACTGTGAGGTGCCTGGAGTTGGGGAAGGGTCCCAGCTGCCCCAGGGGTCTGGCGCTGGTGATGAGAAGGGGTGCAGGAGGAAGGGACCTGTGGGGAGAACGAGCCCGGCATGGCATCCGAGTCAAGCCTAGGACCGCCTTGGGCAGGAGCAGGTGTCTGGAGGGGGTTGAGAGGCAAGGCAGCCTGCCGCTCAGGAAGGGAAGGGAAGGAGCCGGGGAAGGTGACCACAGCCAGGGAGGCCACAGGAGGCTCCAGAGGGTCTACCTCAGGAAGAGGGGGCAGCCAGATGGCACTCTAACTCCACAAACTCACTGCCATCCAGTCGACAGCGATCCTGGCCCCGAGGGTGTCTGGGACTGGAACTCTTGACAGGAGTGGAAAGCCCAGTCTTTCCCCAGAGGAGCTGCTGGTGGCTTCGAACTGCCGACCATGCAGATTGCAGCCCAGCTGGTGACCACAATACCCCCAGGGCCCCAGTGCAATGCTGCAAAGACCTGAACACACTGGACGACCCAGGGAACATTCGCAGCATTGGGGCACAAAAGCAGGCTGCAGCCCACTGTGCTGTTCACTTACATTGCAGTAGAAATGACTAACTGCGAGGAAGTGAGGGAGGAGCCCCCGCCCCACACCCCGACTGGAATGCGGCAGAACTTCCTCTTGGTGGCTGCCGCCCATGCCTGCCCTGCACCTCCCTACAGTTTCCAAAGGTCCCTACAGGAGCCTCCTCTACACTTGTTTTTAAAAAGGTCAAATTAAATTTCGTTTCATGGCGGTGGTGGTGTGTTTTCGGTTTATGTTTCCCAAGGCCGGAGGCTAGAGCAGGTTGGCCTGTCTAGGATCCCCCGGGGAGGCAGGTGGTCTGCAGGGCCGAAGCAGGAAAGTGTGCCAGAGAACCAGGCAGGTCCTGGGAGTTAACATAATCTGGTATCAGTTTGGGACTTGAGAGGATTAAGAGTGAAGGGGGGGCGGCGGGTGGGGTCACAGCCAATGAGGCCTCTGTGTGGACATGGCCTTCTCCTGAGGATTCTGGGAATTCTTAGATTTCCTCCTTGGAAGCAAGAGAGACTCGCCCTCAATTCACTCCCTGAGAGATGCTCTACTGACAAGACACATGGCACTATGCTGATAGACCCCGAGCCTTGGGAACTGGAGAAGCCGTGTGGAGACCCCTGCCAGCACCAAGATGCTTACAACGCCACTGGATCCACAAGACTTCCCACTCACTGGTCTGTGATCTTCCTGCATTGGGCATCATTGCTTGTGTTTCATGAGTCTGAAGAGGACTTTATGGATTGCTATTGGACATATGGGCTAATATCGGACTTGTGGACTTGATCTGGACTGGGCTGGGATGTTTTCTCAATATTCAACGTATATAAAACTCTTTCTTATTCACATATGAGTGTCTATGAATTTGTTTCTCTAGTCTACCCAGACTAACATTTTAAAAGGATGTTTATTGCCTTTTATCCGGGTTTTAGAATGTTTTTTTTTATTTAATGAGTTCTGAAATGAGAAGGTTTTTCGGGATATCCAGTCCCCAGTGAGATCGCCTTAGGGGGTTTGATTTGGCATTTTCGTTGCCCAGGCTGCTGCCGGAATAGATGTACACACGGGTATCTCCTTTATACCTTCAAGCATGTGGTTTAAGGTTATCTCCTTAGAGGCCAAACACTGAATCCCACCCTCTAGTGCCTCAGAACAACGACAGTTCTGAGGCATGGGGGCATGGGGGTGTCGGAAGAGAACTGCGCCCAGAGCTGCTGTCCCAGCTCTTTCCCGGGAGACACCTTTGGATGGACTTGAACCCCAAACGTCTCAGCCCGCTGTTTGCCTGACCAGGAACTTCCTCTAGGACCTAGGCTTG